CTCAGTAATATTACAAGTATTCTATTTCTCAATTAATTTGATTGAACATCAAAATAAAATAAAATCTTCTAAAAGAAAACTTACGTATATTTCTCAATAAATTTTGTTTAAACATGAAAATAAAAGAATAAAACATCTTTTAACAATACATACAGCTGATTCAAATCATTAAATACCGTAACAAAACACTAGCGCGCGTAGTGAATAAATGGAGAACTAATTGAGAGCGAGGGAAAGTAAATTTAGAGCGAGGGAAAATCAGCTGATCGATTTTCCCTCGCCCTAAATTTGAGCTTGCGAAATGATTACTTTCATTGATGTCAGCCGTTATCGAAAATAGTTACTTTCGTTACGGAGTGACGAAAAAACATTTTGGTGAATGTTCCATATAGGTAATACGCGTATGCGAAAAAATCTCTCATGGCCTCATGGCAAAAATAATACGATCCTGATGAAATTTGTAAAAACGTGTCGTGTAAACCTACAACGAATGAGTCCGCGAACCAACACAATTGGAATACGCGAAAATGAGTTTATGAGGGTAATAAGAATAAGGTAAAGATTTTTACATGGGCATAATGAGTGAATTTCCAAACAAAATTTAAAATGTTAACCAATTGCAAATAGCTTATGTATGGCATGCAGGATAAGGAATTTTGTATATATTTTATGTATTTCTGTAATTGACGTAACCAATGCATAACTTATGTAAATCTAGATAAATAAATGACTTATGACTTTAGAGTAAAATACTCCCGCCGCAGTAAACCTGCAGACTAAGCGAATTTCCATTTGCCTAACTGGATTTACACTAAAATGTCTCCTTTAAAATATCTCATTTATTCCCTATTTAAATAACATTAGTTTAACGAGTACTTAAGTTTGCTGCAACAGGGAGGGTAAAAAGGTATTTGTTGTAAAATGTAATTGTTTAGTTTGAAATGAATGCATTTTCCAAATTTGATCAAAATATGTTCATAAACAAGCAAACTACAACAGTTTACTTATTCTCCATAAGAATAACATAGGAATTTAAAATTTACAGATTTTTGGAGTTTTCTCTGTAACCATTAGGCACATAATAACGCTTCAATATACTAAATTATTTGTTTTTTAAGCTCTATATAATGGTTTGGAAAGAAATTGCTAGATTTTAAGATTTTAGGGTCAACAATGGGAAAAACCTATTTTTACCCCATAAACCCCTGTTCCCATAGTCCGATCATGCTGGTTCGCAAACTCGTTCGAATAAACGTGGGTTTACACGTTTGTACCAAATTTCATCAAAATCGGATGATTTTTGCTCGAGTTATCGCGCTATTGGACACATATATAAATATAAATATAAATATTTATATTTATATGTGTGTCCAATAGCGCGATATATATATATATTTTTTTTCACATATATATATATATATATATATGAATTTGAACGGATGGTGTTTTTGGTCTCTAGGGACCTCAAAACAAAAAAGTAAATCGGTCCCGGGTCCAGGTCTTACGATGAGTACTACGGTAATAGCTTATTCCCTATATGGGAAATTCGCTAAAAAAGAAATAATTTAGTTTATTGTTGCATGCCTACCGGTTGAGGATGTATAAGAAGTTCCCAAGTTCTTAAGGATAATAACAAAACTTTTTTAGTTTTCTTGTTCTTGGATTTTACTTAATCAAATTTGGTAATCTTTGTTTATTTCATTTTATTTAACAAAGAAATAATTTGACATTTTAAGAAAATACGAGCTGCTATAAGCAGGTTGTTTTGTTCGTGGTATGTCTATATAGTAACCGAGCTTCACAACGGGAGGAAAACGTGGTTAGAGTTGCAAGTTTACATATCTAGGCCTGTTATGGATCTAAGATTAAAAACTTAATTTTAACACCTAACCTTGTGTGTAATAAAATTCTTTACATCTTACTACACAGAAACAGGTACTTTTCCTATTCCATCCATAGGATGGGAAGTTACCCTTTGCCATGCCTAAACACGGAAAAGTAACGTAATGTACTTTTTCCTACAGTCACCCGACAAAGTTGGCTTCCTTGTACTGTTTATAGTACAGAAAGCTGCTAATTGCTGCATATTTATACTTTGCCGCACATCAGGATTCCAACGAAACAACACAAAGCAGCGTGGTTCTATTATGCACGTAATCCGTGTATGCTTGGAAATAGGTTGGCAACACTTAAAGATAATAATACTATGAGCAGCTGATTGACTATTATAACTACGATTTAACCTGTCATTTCGTGTTTATAGTTTCGGTATTTCTGAACTTTCTGGACTTTTCTTTTAAACGTTTTAAAACATTCCTACGATCTTAATAAACAAGAAAAAAACCTTTAAAGCATTTTTTAAGGCGCGGAAACCACTTCAAATTACAAAAACAAACGGAACTATATTCTCAAAACGCGGAGCACATTTCTTGCCGAGGAAAAATAGTGGAGTGATACGGACCGCTGGTACTACTTTCTCTAGGGCACCATTTGTGTTGCCAGCTGAACATAAAAACGTGTTGTATAGTGTTTGAAAGACTAATTATTTATATGCTTTATAGTGACTGTAGGAAAAATATAATGTGTAACACGAGTGAAAAAGGCCTTTGCTGCACTCGAGATCATTCCGTAAACGTTGCTCTCGTGTGCAGCAAAGTACCACTTTGCTCACTAGTTACACAAATAACTATTACGCCACACTACATTATTTTGACGAACATCCCACGCAAGGATTTAGTCAAGAAAACAGCTGTTTGCTGCCAGCTTATTCAATTGGGGTTTCAGTGCGTACTGTACTACTATACTGTAATGAGTGTTACCGGACACCAATCAGCTGATTATACTGTATTTAGGTGGCAATGAATGGTTATAAACAAAAACATAATGAGTAGTGATTTTTAGTCCTTTAGTTGGTGGGAATATATAAGGATTTGTACAGATTTATTAGTATGGCGTAAACTAACGTACGTAACTCGTCCAAAATGTGTGTACCGGACTCGTATGGTAATCCCGTACTCGACTTCGTCTCGCACGAGAACGACCACACTCGTCCGGTAAACACACTTATTTTCAGGACTAGTAACGTAATATACTATTACAGTGTACTTAGTCAGCTGTTGAAATAAACAGCTAATTTCAGCGGCCTATTTTATTTCCAGAAAAAAAATCTAATTTATGTTCTGTCCTAAATAAATTGTGTCGCACGAAAATCCTGTACTCGGCTACGCCTTCTATAAAACACCTTACCGCTTACCTGGCTAGTAACCTAATACAGTAGGCATATACTATTTTTTATACCTACTGCATTTAGATAAGGTGTTTAAGTTTCTTAAGCAGCCATTACAGTTTACAGGTGGTTCTGATGTGTGTTTGTAAACACTGTAACAACTCTATGATTTATTTTAAATACCCCCCGCAGCAAACCTGCAGACTAAACGAATTTCCATTATTTGCTTGATTGGATTTACACTATCTCCTTAAAATATCACAATATTATTCCCTATTTCAATATAGCATTAGTTTAACAAGTACTTAGGTATGTTGTAACAGGAAGGGTTTTAAAGGTTTTTTTTAATATTATTACATGAAGGTAGTTTAGTATGAAATAAATGCATTTTCAAATTTTGATCAAAAGATGTTCATAAACAAGCTAACTAAAACAGTTTACTTATTCTCCATAAGAATATCATTGGGATTTTAAATTTAAAACGGTTTGAGTTTTCTCCGTAACCATTAGGTGCATAATAATGCTTCAATATACTAAATAATTTGTTATTAAGCTCTACAAAATAGTTTGGAAAGAAATTATTGCAAAATTTTATGTTGTCATTGCTTTTTATGGATCGCCATATTGGCAATGGAAAGGTTAACAAAAGAATCAAAGCATCTGCAGTTTGTTTAGGTAAATTAACGCAGTTTTTTAATTTCCTCATTTCCGGTGTAAGTTGCTGATACAAATGTACTACAACTCATTTAATATTTCAAAGTGTAACAATGAACAACGTAAATTTGTTATTTGGATTAATCTGTTTTAACATTAAGCTAGCAAGTTAAATGAAAAAACTATGTACACCCCTACTATGTCATTATATAAACATATATTTCAAATAAATGTATGATTAAAAAAACTTTGATGGATACCATAATCATCCTCTAGCAAAGTTTGGCCTAGGTAGCAAGTTTTAACTACCTTCTTACACGAAAAAAAACAGTTAATAAATCATAATACAAGTGCGACAAATAAATGTCAAATTATTTTAAGCCTTCAAACGGCAGAACACATATTATATACACAAGATAGTTGAGATAGCATTGACAAATTTGAAGGAGACTGCAAGCTGCAAGCGCCGTGAATAGAAGTCGTTCGGAGTTAAAAAAAAGAACAACTCTCATTATACTCAACCGATCTGTTCAGCAAGAGCTGTTCACCTTCAATTTGAATCTCCCGCTCTTTGTCGATCTGTTTTGCTTGTCGACATTTTGCGTGTCGATAAAGTGGGAAAATTTACACAACCGTCCCACATAACAGACATCCCACATAACCGACATCCCACTTTACAGACATCCCATATTACCGACACTGTCGACATTTTGAGTTGTCGACATAGTGGGACTATTTCAGTGTCGATCTTTTGGGATGTCGATCAACTGGTCCCGGGTTCGAATCCCGCTGGTAGCACTAACTTTTTGTCAACAAATTTTTCATATCAGCAAGTTTGGTTGGTTAGGTTAGGTTATGACAGTTTAATTTTAAAAATTAAAAATTAATTTTATAATTTTAAAACAATATTTTATAATTAAAAAGTTAATGTTATAACTAAAAATTAAAAAAAAAAAAATTTAAATTTTTTCAACTTAGCAGTTCTTGCGGCGAACGTTGTCACTACAAGATATGTTAGCCTTAGTCCCTCCCGTGTGCCCCACCCTAACTTTGCCCTGTTTGTTTTCTGTTCTGCACTTGCACTACTGCAGTGCTACTTGACTACCTACAACAAGCAGTGTTGTTTTTGTTTACTGATTCTGAGTCGTTAGGAGTATATGATTGATATGTATAATCAATGATTCTAATATAATATTGTATACAATTACACAAATCTAAGGCTTAGGAGGCAGACGATTTCAGTTTCATTTATACTTTTAGTTTTAAACCTGCAAAATTAAAATAAAGAATCATGGCGGCAACAACTAACATGTTTGGTGTACTCGTGATTGGCAGAATGGTAAGTGTTTATATTAGTTTAGCCTGGTCAAATAGTACGGGATTGTTAAAATTAATTAGTTTATTGTTAACTTATTTAGTTGGCCTAGGCTATTCTAGCATAGACATAGACCTATGCTACTGAATCAAATCGAATCAAATCATTTATTTGGCCATTCATTGTAGGCCTACAATAGGCTAAGTCAAAAGTCATGAGCATTAAATAAAACATGCACACATTGTAGGTACCGTACTAAATTAAAATCATAAAAAAGCAAACATGCTAGCATATAAAGCAAAAAAGTACAAAGCAAAGAACATCTGCAAAACATTACCAAGCAATAGGCCTACATTACAAGTCAGATACCGGTACAAAAAATCATGCTAGAGAGGTCTTATTCATAAAATTCTTCCATGCTATAGAATGGGTTTGATGTGAGGCATGATTTTATGGTTTTTGAAAATTTGGCTTTAGATAACAATAACTTACACAGAGGATACACGTCCGGTAACCGGACATGGATTAGGCGTCCAGCGGTGCCGTCACCGGGTTGTGGGGGCCCGTAACGCCATTACCTCAAAGATATGATGATTAGCCATCAGTGTTCGTGGTAGTGGATAGAGTGCTCGGCTGATATGCAAGAGGTAACTTACCTCGTTCGAATCCCATCGGTAACCTTAACTTTTTGTCAAAGATTTCGCTTTGAATGCCATTTCTTCTTAACTGTACATATCTTGTTAGAATTTTTGGCATTTTTAATTTTATTTGGTAATTATTTGGACGTAGTGACTACTCGCAAAAGTGAAATTTTTGTTTTTCATAATGACCTAAATTTCACGCTGAATCCGAAAATGACGTTTTTAATTTTCGGAAAATACCGGAAATTCCCGAAAAAAGGGAAAAACGGGAAAAATTTTTTTTTACTCAAAATACGTCATGTGGGTAGGCCTACTCAAAATACGCGGGATATTGTGTAGATTAAGAATATGCAAGAATTTTTTTGATCCGATGAAAAACACCGGAGATAGGGCGAAAAAACTGTGAATAATTGGTTAGGCTTGGTTAGGTTAGGTTTGGTTAGGTTAGATTTGGTTAGGTTCGGTTAGGTTTGGTTAGGTTAGGTTAGGTTAGGTTAGGTTAGTTTAGGTCAGTTTATCAATAACATGAGTATTGTAAGTAAACTAACCTAACCTTACCTAACCAAACCTAACCTTACCTAACCTATCCAAACCTAACCTAACTCAACCTAACGTAACCTAACTCAATCTAACATAAACAATAATAATAAAATAATGACCAGCTGATCAGCTGGTATTTTAACACGGACAAAAGTTGGACAAAAAATCCAAAATAACATCGTGAATTTTCGGGTTAGGTTAGGTTAGGTTTGATTAGTTAGGTTAGGTTAGGTTTGGTTAGGTTAGGTTTGGTTAGGTAAGGTTAGGTTAGTTTACTTACAATACTCATGTTATTGATAAACTAACCTAACCTAACCTAACTGAACCGAACCTAACCAAACCTAACCTAACCTAACCTAACCTACACTAACCTAACCTAACCAAACCTAACCTTACAGGTTTGGTTAGGTAAGGTTAGGTTAGTTTACTTACAATACTCATGTTATTGATAAACTAACCTAACCTAACCTAAACTAACTGAACCGAACCTAACCAAACCTAACCTAACCTACACTAACCTAACCTAACCAAACCTAACCTTACAGGTTTGGTTAGGTAAGGTTAGGTTAGTTTACTTACAATACTCATGTTATTGATAAACTAACCTAACCTAACCTAAACTAACTGAACCGAACCTAACCAAACCTAACCTAATCTAACCTAACCAAACCTAACCTAACCTAACCAAGCCTAACCAATTATTCACAGTTTTTTCGCCCTATCTCCGGTGTTTTTCATCGGATCAAAAAGATTCTTGCATATTCTTAATCTACACAATATCCCGCGTATTTTGAGTACCCACATGACGTATTTTGAGTAAAAAAATTTTTCCCGTTTTTCCCTTTTTTCGGGAATTTCCGGTATTTTCCGAAAATTAAAAACGTCATTTTCGGATTCAGCGTGAAATTTAGGTCATTATGAAAAACAAAAATTTCACTTTTGGGAGTAGTCACTACGTCCAAATAATTACCTTTTATTTTATGAAGGTTAAAAGGATATAACCTTCATTTGATTTTTTCATTATCACCAAGTTTTGTAGGTTAGGTAAGGTTATGACAGTAACTACCGGACGCCTAGGACACGTATCCTCTGCAAATAACTTAACTGAAGTACGCCTAGACATCCCATTTATATGGTAGAACTTTGGCCTAACTTAGTTCTAGGCCTTATGAATTTGGCCTCTCTGGTTCTCTTCTTTGATAAACTTCTAAACAAATTATCCTTTAACCCTCTAGGTGTCGCATTGAACACCTGTTAATGTCACTCAATTTTCAAGACTTTTGCGGAGTTTGATTAAAAAATTAATAAATACCCCCGCCGCAGCAAACCTGCCGACTAAGCGAATTTCCATTTGTCTGAATTGATTTTCAGTTAAATATACAGGGTGAGTTTTAAATGAGTTCCCCCCCTACTTTTTTCTACATTTCTTAAGATATCAACTCCGAACCATGTCAGATCATTTATTTATTTATTTATTTATTTATTCTCTCAACGGTAACACCATTTTTACATTGGAATATACATTAAATAGGATTAATCACTTTATAAACATAGCATAATTGGTAATAAATATGAGCAATAATAAGAATAAATTAGAAAGCAGACATGAAATGCAAAAGACATAACCAGTATAAAGACAAACAAAAATACATTAATAGGCTGAATCAATTCAAGTGTAAGACAAACAAAAAACATAGCAAAATTAGGTACAGGCTACTAAAATAGTGCAATAAATAAGAATGAAAATGAGAAGCAGGCATAAGATGCAAAAGACATAATAATATGGCGCATAGATAACTACAAAAGGTAAAATTTAAAGTGCAAAAACATAACAACAACATTATTTAACAATATGCAACCAAGACATAACAACAACGAGAAAAAAGGAAACAACAATTGCAATATCGGTAGGCTAACAAAATAAATAGTAAGATATAACAACAACAAAATAAATATATATATCATTGTAGAGTAGTAAGTACTTAATTTTGACTGGGTGTAATATTTTGGCCGCCATCTTGGATCCGCCATATTGGATACAAAGTTATTTTTTCAAATGTAAAGGTAGAGTTGTGACCCACCGTTTCAAACTAGATTTTTACGCTAAATACGATGCTGCAATCCGTTTTTAAAAATATTGATCCATTCTAAAGTTATGAGAACTTTTTATAACTTTATTTTTAGCCAATTATAACATTGTGCATTTACAAACTAAGGCCATAATCTCAAAATAGTGCTAGATAAAGATAAGCGGACACCACCTTTCATATTTGACCTATTTTCACTTGGTTATGATGGATGTATTTTTTTCAGCCACCATCTTGGATCCGCCATTTTGAAATGAGATAAATTATTTAAAATATGAAGGTGATGTTGTGACCCATCATTTTGAACTAATTTTTTATGCTGAACCTAATGCCGCAATCCGTTTTTTGTTATCAGGCTTTCTTGATAAAATATTACAATTATTTTATTTAAAATGTCAATATTTCAAAAACCAAATATGACAATGAAAAACGGATTGCGGCATTGAATTCAGCATATAAAAGTAGTACAAAATGATGGGTCACAACACCACCTTCATATTTAAAATAATTTATCACATTTCGAAATGGCGGATCCAAGATGGCGGCTGAAAAAATACATCCGTCATAACCAAGTGAGAATAGGTCAAATATGAAAGGTGGTGTCCACTTATCTTTATCTAGCACTATTTTGAGATTATGGCCTTAGTTTGTAAATGCACAATGTTATAATGGGCTAAAAATAAAGTTATAAAAAGTTCTCATAACTTTAGAGTGGATCAATATTTTTAAAAACGAGTTGCAGCATCGTATTCAGCGTAAAAATCTAGTTTGAAACGGTGGGTCACAACCCTACCTTTACTTTTGAAAAAATAACTTTGTATCCAATATGGCGGATCCAAGATGGCGGCCAAAAATTTAAACCCAGTCAAAATGAAGTACATAATACTCTACAATGATCTGACGTGGTTCGGAGTTGATATCTTAAGAAATGTGGAAAAAGGTAGGGGGGGAACTCATTTAAAACTCGCCCTGTATTTTAATAACATTAGGTTTAACGAGTACCTAGGTTTGCTGCTACAAGGAAACTATTACAGTGTGTTTTTGAGTAAAATATTGATAGCTTAGTAGAAAATAAATAAATTTGCCAAGTTTGATCAAAATATATCCATAAACAAGCAAACTACAACATTTGACAATATTCTCCATAAGAATAACATGGGAATTTTAAATTTACAATTTTTTTAATTTTCTCCGTTACTAATAATCGAACAAAAATACTTTTATATACTAAATTATTTGTTTTTTTAAGCTCTTTAAAAATGTCTAAAGATAAATCGGGAAATTTTGTGTTTTGAGGGTCAAAAGTGAGAAAAACCAATTTTTACCCCATAAAACCCCCCGTAAAGCCCCGTTCCCATGATCCGATCGTGCTGGTTCGCGAACTCATTCAAGTTTATCCCGCTTTACACCTTTAAACCAAATTTTATCAAAATCGGACAAAAATTACTCAAGTTATCGCGTTCATGGACGTATATGTATATATATATAAGTCTATATATATATACATATATAAAAATTTGAACGAATGGTGTTTTTGGCCTCTGGGGACATCAAAATGAAAAAGTAAATCGGTCCCGGGTCTAGGTCTTACCGTGCCACCTACGGTTATAGCTACTTCCCTATAGGGAAATTCGCTAAATACTTCCCTATAGGGAAATTCGCTAAATACTTCCCTATAGGGAAATTCGCTAAAAATCTAAAAGATGACATATAAGTTAGATAACATTGTATATTTTCTTAAAGCAAATACAATTGT